TATGTAAATTTCTGTGGCGGAAAACGATTTTGGGGACCAGGCAGGATAGAAAGCTGAAACTTTGCAGAGGTATTATTCTAAGTGCTTGTTGAGCTAAGGATTTCAAATTCAGTCATTGCATACGCTTGTACAGCGTCACGTGTGCTAACCCGTGACGCTGTAATCTGGCACTGTGCTAACCCGAAAATTTGCCGGAAAACAGTGACTGAAATTTTTTCGGAATATTCATTGTCCGTATGGGAAATCGTGTACCTAAAATAAGTGTTGATTTGCAGTTGGCCGCGACTTAGAACTCTTAAAAGATATTTGTGGCGAAGTGGCTATTTCACTTATCGGATAATGTGTGAGGCTGAAACTTTGCTGGGATATTCTACTTTTAAGTGCGGTTTTAATTGTGCTGGAAAATGAAATTCCCTGCAGGTGAGTATGAAAAATACTCAACTTTACCACAAAATCAGAAACGAGTGCATTTTGCGGCGAGCGACTGCCCTCATTCTCTCGCAACATCCAGTTCATTTATATATTTGGATTTTTATGCGTTTTTGCTTATATGCAAATTGCAAAAGCGCGTATTGCAATGACCCTGTGTGTGTGTGTGTGTGTGTGTGTGTGTGTGTTCGGATATTTTAAGTCTGCAGTCAAGCAGTCTTCGGCGCCAAAATTTTTCCAGTTGTTTCTCTGGCCAAGTGCACCCCGGGACCGCGGCACCAACCTTCAAACACGTCTGGGCTCCACATGCGAGTGCGTGAAAATTTTGACAGGAAAATTGCTAACTCGGGAATGAGAAAAGCTGGAATTTCGAGGATATGTTCTACGTCCACATTGAACTCAGAGATTTCAAATTCAGCCCGCAGGTGTGCGTAGTTCCCGCATACGTCCTCGGGGAGTGCTCCTAACCGAAAATCGCTAACTTGGGAATCAGGAAAGCTGGGAGGCTGAAATTTTAAGGGGATGTTCGCAGCTCGTGTAAAACTTTATAAAAATAATGTTGGAACAAGAAAGCTAGTGGTGTTAAGAAATTAATGAAACTTGAAATATATAAAAAATATGATGGTAAGACATGTTTCGGTCCTTTAAGTAGCATACATTTCTTACCATTACCACAACTAGACTTCGTCAGTACAGCGATTGTGGTAAATAGTATGGATTTGATTTTAATTTAAACAGACATGTTACTGAAACTAGTATAGATGAACTAAAGATAAAAGTTAAGCGTGTAAAAAGAAATTAAAGTTGATGTAAAATCTTGCCGTAAAAGGAGTTGTTGGTTCCATATCCAATCCAGAAAATTTTTTCAGAGAGATCTATAAGGCTATTTATTAATATTATTAGTATGAAATCTAACTATTTATACACGAATATGTTTAGTTTCAATGACCAATTTTGTTTATCTGTAACAAAGCTGAACTGTATCATTACAGTATTAAGGATTGAAAATCTCGATTAATTGTAATGATTTTATTATAATTACTGAATGGCAAAAGTAAAATAAAGTAAAAGTAAAAAAGGATCGCAGGAATGTAGGAGATAATGGATAAAATAGGAGTAAATTGGTATGGGGTGGGGGGTGTAGATAAAAGTAGATAGAGAAGGAAAAAAAAGGTTTTTGGATAAGGAAAGGAGAAATTGTATAGAATTTTCAGGTAGATAGTAGTAGGTAGATAAAGGAAAAGTGTAGAAAAAGGTGCGAATATAGGAGAATTAAAACTACATGAGTATTTTAAAAGTAAAATGGAAGAGGTGGGCAAAAATTTTTTTTAAATAAGAGAATAAGGTGGTATAAGTAATAAATTATCCATGAAATTTAATATAATATAAATTACTTTAGAGATGAAATAAGCATGTATAAGAAATTAACTATGTAATGTATGATTGTATTTGATTTAATAATTTGTTAATATTGATGTTATTAGGATAAAAATATTTAGCAAAATGAAATCTATAGCGTGAAAAAATGAGCGGCAAATCTTGTATAATTTACATTGATGTAATCAAATCCAACCCCCAGGCATGCGCGTTCCTTACGTTCGGCTTCTTGAAATTTTTTGGCGGGAAAATGTCTAACTTGGAGGCTGAAATTTTGAAGGGATGTTCCCAGTCCACGTACAGCTGAGAAATTTCAAACTCAGCCCCCAGGTGTGTCCCCGGTCACCTGCGGCCCTGTGAAAGCTTTGGCGGGAAAATTGCTAACTCAGGAACTAGAAAAACTGGAAAGCTGAGATTTTCGGAGAATGTTCCTCCTCCAAATACGACTTAAAGGTTACGAGTTCAGCCTCCAGGTACGCGTGGTTGTCGTGTACGGGAAAAAAAATTTTTGGCCGGGAAATTGCTCATTGAACAGTTGGGTCATTTTGAAACCCAGGCTGGAACGCACCAGGCAAGCCGGTGCGATCATGCGTTTTTGCATCAAACTTTGAGG